AAAAGTAAGACAAAAACAATCAGACAATACGAACAATTTAAAAGCACAACAGACACAGCAGATTCGAGTAGGGGGGTGGGGAGGACTCAATCCCAGGCTTGCTGGGACAGCCAGGTCTTCACGGCCGTCCGGAAGGCCCGAAGGGTGGAGAGGGTCCGAATCTCCACCGGGAGCTCGGTCCAAAGGGCCGGAGCAGCCACAGAGAAGGCCCTCCTCCAAGTAGTCGCCAGCCGACATTGGCCGGCAGATGTAATACGGAGGAGGCCTAATCTGTGGGATTGAATGGGTCTGTGGGAGGTGTCTAAAATACCAGAAAAGCGGTGGCCATTAACGTTAAAGCTGGTGATCGGGCGAGCGTGCAGCAAAGGTTGTTCCATGGCCAACAAGTGAGTAGACGACACAGGAGTGGGTTAAGGAAGCGGCAAGGCAGAGGAAACCACTTGCCCTTCCGGCACTCTCAGGGGAACGTTGGGGATGAAAGCCATACCCATGTGGCCCCGGTCATCGGGGGTCCAGCAAAAAGGGGGCGTCGATGGCTCCCTGCAGGACAAAGTCTCGCTGTGGAAAGGCCAGAAACGGAACATTGGTGGGCAGGGGAGTGGGGCCTTTGAGGCGGAGAATTAAAGACTAGGCGGTTCCCGGCAGCAGGGTAGCTATTTCCTCTGCGTTCTCCAGTTCCACCAAGGCCGGAAGAGGTGGCGGGGACTGGTGACTGCCGCCATTATCAGCCTTTCGAGCGGGGCTGGCTGATCGCCCCTGTTCTAGTTTCCCAGACTAGGGGGACGGTTGGTCCTGCATTGTTTTGCCCAGTGAAACCCCTTTTTGCAACGGGGACAAACCGTTTTTGGTTTCGCTTGATTGTTCTGTCGCCGACTCCCTCCCCCCGGAGCTCTGCACTGGGCGCGAAAGTGTCCCGGTTTTCCACAATTAAAACAGTTACCGGAATGTCGCGCTCTATATTGTTGCAGGGCAGCAGCGAGGGCATCCATTTTATAGGTCACGGTGCCGACCACTCGGCAGGCTTCTAAGTAGTCAGCGATGTCTGCCCCGGGCTGGTCCACAAGGGGCTGCAATATGCACTGACAGTCATAGTTGGCATTTTTATATGCCAGTATTCTAAGCAATAACTGGCGGCCTTCGTGGTTGTCCACCTGCCGGTCGATGGCCTTTTTCAGGTCGTCGACAAAGTCTTGATAATTTTGAGAAGGACCCTGATATAATTTTGTAAATAATTTTTTAGGGCCATCCTCTGGGTCATCTACTTTTAAAAGAGCGGTGTTAGCGGCTCGAGAAATTATGCGGCTAGCCTCCCAAGGGACAGCAGCCTGCTGTTGGGGGGTTTCAAAGCCTACCCCCCCGATCAGGTGGCCATTGGTGACCCCCGGTGGGAGGCCCCAAGCACTTTGTCTTTCAATTTCAATCTCGTATGCAGAAGACCAGATGGCATACTGGAAGTGAGTTAAAATCATTAAAAAAAGAAGCTTCCAATCATCAAGGACAAGCCAATAAATGTTTCCCAGACACTCGATCAAACCTCGGGTGTAGGGGGAAGTTATTCCGTACATGGCAGTTGCTTCTTTGATGTCCTTAATGGCTTTGTACGGGACGGGTGTATATACTGGGATTTGTGGCCCCGCCGGGTTGGCAGGGTCAGGCTTCATGTTAACGGGGGGAACACGAGAACTGTCTTCCAAATCCAGATCGCCGTTTTGAAGGGCGTCCCAGAGAGTAGAGGCCACCGCTCCTCCTTTCAGGGGGGCGCGAGGGGCCGGGACCTCGGGGGGAGACTGACTAGGCCCTGAGGGGACCAGGGTAGTGCTTTCTCCTAATTGGGGCAATTTGGTATCTGATTGATATGCCGGAGGCGGGCCTGGTTCTGCCGTCAGGGGCTCCTCATGAATTTTTAGGCATTCCACGATTATCCGCCACGTGGCGAGCATTTTCGCCGGAGCCCTTGGGGACTCGTGCAAATAAGTGCCTAATTTAATCCATGTGGACGTTCGAATTGAACCTTTCTCCGGGTAAGCCGGACAATGTTCGTAAATGTATTTTAGTAAAACCGTTAATTCAGTTTTTGTTGGCCGGGGCAATTTTTTCCCATTTTTAAGTACAACGATTGAGGACTTGGTGAATTCTCTCAGTTCGTGGAGGTGCGCGACCTGAGACTTAGAAAACCCTGTCCCCATACTCACGAATAAGGGAGGGTGCTCCGTCCAGCCGGATGAGTATGAAAATGCCAAGAAACGTGCTCGATCCGTGAATCACGTCGAGGTCACTAGTTGCGGCGTTGCCACGCTGGCGGGCCACTCATGTCTCTTGGCCAAATCGGAAGGAAGAGAGCAGGCTGAGTTCCTTGGGATGAGGGCCTCGAATGTGCTTTGGAGACCTCTTTTATTGAGAAAGTTAGTTACAGCGTCATCAAAAAGGGCGTATCAAAAGGCGTATGTGGTCACATGTTACAAATAAACAAATAAAAAGTTACAACATGGCATAGGGTAGGGGGAGGGAGGAGAAAGGGCAGGTATGGGCGTAGCTTGCTCACATAGCTCACGTTACATGAGCTTGCGTAGTAACTCCTGACC